CTCTCCCACCTTGTAGGTTTCGAAGCCTCACCACGGCGTTCTTCAGAGACGCGATGGGCTTTCTACTCATGTTTGACCTCACCAACCAACAGAGCTTCTTGAACGTCAGGAACTGGATGAGTAAGTAGGGAGCATCCCATGGGATTGGAGGGGTGGCCTTGGAGCTTCCTGCTTGGCTTTGGGGCCTTCAGGGTATCCTTTGGAGCTGGACTTCCAAGAGGAAGGGGCTGCCCAAGCTGGAGGAGAACGGATGGAGCAGCCCTAAGGAGGCCTTGGTGGTGGGTGAGGAGAAGCTCCCCAGAGCCCGAGCAGCAGGTTGAGGGTGGGTTTCTCACCCTCTACTCCGTGGAGGAGAGACCTTGGAGCAGCTCCCAGGACCTAAAGGGCCCACCAGAAACCTGGAGCAGGGCTTGGGACATGGGAATACAGGGATGGGAGGAGGACTTTGGGCTTCCAAGTGGGAGAGGGAGGAGTGAGGTGGGATCTGGGGCAGAAGCTCTTCACCACCAGGGTGGTGGGACACCGGGATGGGTTGGAAGGGAGGAGCTGGGGCTGCCCCAGCCCTGTGCAAGGCCAGGTTGGAGTAAGGTGGACTAGGAGTAGGTGGCCTAAGTTGGAAGGGGATGAGCTTGAAGGTCCCTTCCAAGCCGAACCACTCGGCTACTACGAGGTGGGTCCCCTGAGCACGGGGGCAAGTGGAAGGGGAAGTGCAACTCTTTGTAAGGCTGTAGGAAAGTAGATACTGGGAGTAACCTCCTAGTGCCATCTCTAGGTCCTCGCTTGACCCCTTAGCAAGCAAACCTACAACAAGGAAATGTGCTTGTTGTAGATTTACTCCAGGTGTTATGGGGTGTCCTCAAGGTGTTATGGGGTTCCTCGAGGTGTTATGGGGCTACCCGAGGTATTAGGGGGCTACTCGAGGTGTTAGGGGGTTCCTCGAGGTATTAGGGGGCTACTCGAGGTACTATGGGGTTCCTCAAGGTATTAGGGGGCTACTCGAGGTATTATGGGGTTCCTCAAGGTATTATGGGGCTACTCGAGGTATTATGGGGCTACTCGAGGTATTAGGGGGTTCCTCAAGGTATTAGGAGGTTACTCGAGGTATTATGGGTCTCTCAAGGTGTTATGTGGTTCTTTGAGGTCTTATGGGGTTCCTCGAGCTTTTATGGGGCTACTCAATGTATTATGGAGTTACTCAAGGTATTACGGGGTTCCTCGAGGTATTATGGGGTTCCTCGAGGTCTTATGGGGTTCCTCGAGGTCTTATGGGGCTACTCAATGTATTATGGAGTTACTCAAGGTATTACGGGGTTCCTCGAGGTATTATGGGGTTCCTCGAGGTCTTATGGGGTTCCTCGAGGTCTTATGGGGCTACTCAATGTATTATGGAGTTACTCAAGGTATTACGGGGTTCCTCGAGGTATTATGGGGTTCCTCGAGGTCTTATGGGGTTCCTCGAGGTCTTATGGGGCTACTCAATGTATTATGGAGTTATTCGAGGTATTGTGGGGATACTCAGGGTATTACTGGTTGGGGTTACTCAAGGTATTATGGGGATACTCAAAGTATTAGGGGGCTACTTGAGGTATTATGGGTTTACTCGAGGTATTACGGGTTTACTCAAGGTATTACGGGTTTACTCAAGGTATTACTGGTTTACTCAAGGTACTACAGGGTTACTCAAGGTATTACAGGGTTGCTCAAGGTATTATGGGGTTTACTCAAGGTATTACGGGGTTACTCAAGGTATTACGGGGTTCCTCAAGGTATTACTGGACTCGAGGTATTACTGGTTTACTCAAGGTACTACAGGGTTACTCAAGGTATTACAGGGTTGCTCAAGGTATTATGGGGTTTACTCAAGGTATTACGGGGTTACTCAAGGTATTACGGGGTTCCTCAAGGTATTACAGGGTTACTCAGGGTATTACTGGTTTACTCAAGGTATTATGGGGTTACTCGAGGTATTACTGGTTTACTCAAGGTACTACAGGGTTACTCAAGGTATTACAGGGTTGCTCAAGGTATTATGGGGTTTACTCAAGGTATTACGGGGTTACTCAAGGTATTACGGGGTTCCTCAAGGTATTACAGGGTTACTCAGGGTATTACTGGTTTACTCAAGGTATTATGGGGTTACTCGAGGTATTACTGGTTTACTCAAGGTACTACAGGGTTACTCAAGGTATTACAGGGTTGCTCAAGGTATTATGGGGTTTACTCAAGGTATTACGGGGTTACTCAAGGTATTACGGGGTTCCTCAAGGTATTACAGGGTTACTCAGGGTATTACTGGTTTACTCAAGGTATTATGGGGTTACTCGAGGTATTACTGGTTTACTCAAGGTACTACAGGGTTACTCAAGGTATTACAGGGTTGCTCAAGGTATTATGGGGTTTACTCAAGGTATTACGGGGTTACTCAAGGTATTACGGGGTTCCTCAAGGTATTACAGGGTTACTCAGGGTATTACTGGTTTACTCAAGGGATTAGGGGGTGCGGAGCCAGGAAGGCCGTTTTAACTCCCTCTCTCCACCTTGCTTCCGCGAAGGTGCTTCCCCCGTTGTCTTCTTCCTCCCCCCAGGTCAGCTCCAAGCCAATGCCTACTGCGAGAGCCCGGACATAGTCCTCCTGGGCAACAAGGGTGATTTACTCCACCAACGGGAGGTCACGGAGAAGCAGGCGAAAGAGCTGGCCGAGAAATACGGGTAAGAAGCTCCGAGCGAAGCCAACCGGCACCTACTACCTGGTGTAAGCGCAGCCAAGCGCCGCCCCCGCCTACTAGAGGGAGGAGGGAGGAGGTGGTTGCGGCCTGCTTGGAAGCAGGAAGGTGGGAAGGAGCCGTAGAGTCATCTAGGGCCACCTCCTAGGTGGCCTTGGAGCTCCATCCAAGCCCTTCCAATGTGCCACCACCACGTTCTTCTTGAGATCTTCACCTCCCTCTTCCACTTGGAAGCCCAAAGGCTTCATCTCCTCCCACCTGGCCGAGCTTTAAGGGCCTTTCCAGCCCCATATTCCATGGGTCTCCGAAGCTCGGGTAGATGACGGCAGCAAGAGCCTGTGGAGGACACTGTCGCCCTTCAACCTTCTCCTTGTAGGATCCCCGCCACCACCACGTTCTTCTTGAGATCTTCACCTCCCTCTTCCACTTGGAAGCCCAAAGGCTTCATCTCCTCCCACCTGGCCGAGCTTTAAGGGCCTTTCCAGCCCCATATTCCATGGGTCTCCGAAGCTCGGGTAGATGACGGCAGCAAGAGCCTGTGGAGGACACTGTCGCCCTTCAACCTTCTCCTTGTAGGATCCCCTACTTGGAGACAAACGCCGCCACCGG